TTTTAAAATAGAAGCCAAACTAAAAGTCAAGATCAGGAGAACATTTTAATAAAAAAAAGAAACAATAGGATGGAAAAATATAAATAATTTGAGAAAACACATTTTAATATTTTAACAACAAAAGCAAACAGCAAAAGGCTGTCATATAGATGTAGGAGAGCTGCTAGACCTATCATTCTTGGGCTTGGTAATTACTTAAAATATTATGTTTAATATTATTTTTAAACGTCTTCAATGAGTAGGAGTTTTTGATTGCGTCGTCTAAGTTGTTCCATAGTCTCACTCCTCTGACCGAGACACATCTGCTTTTTTTGTTAGTTCTTGCCTTATTTATTTTGAAAATCCCTGTTCCTCTGAGATTGTAACTACAATCTCTATGTTCAAACATATTTTGAATATTGGGTGGAAGATTATTGTGCTGAGCCCTGTATACCACAGCCAGTGTACTCGCATCAACAATATCATACATTTTTAAAGTTCTTAACTGGATAAAGAGAGGGTTAGTCGGTGCGTAGTAGTGTGTTTTAAACACAATTCGTATGGCCTTCTTTTGAAGTAGAAAAATTGGTTCAATATTTGTTCTATAATTGTTTCCCCATATTTCAGCACCGAACTCAAATAGGGAAGAATAAGGGAGTTGTATAACAGGTGGCGTGATTTTTGGTTTAAAACATGTCTCAATTTACCCAAAATTCCAACATTTTTTGACAATTTCAATTTAAGATTATATAAATGCTGCTTCCAGCTGAGTTTTCCGTCAACAGTAATTCCTAGGAACTTGTTTGTATCTACTTGTTCTATTTCTTTGCCATTGATCTCCAGTTTAATTTGAGTGTTATTTATTTTATTTCCAAATATTATATATTTTGTTTTTGTCAGGTTCATGGAGAGTTTGTTACGGTCGAACCATCCTTTTAGGATCGTCAGTTCTTGCTGAACTATATCAATGATGTCATGCAGACTGTTTCCAGAGTAGTAGAGGCTGGTATCATCAGCATACAATAGGCATTTACCTTTATCCAATATCTCACAGACATCATTGATATACATAATAAATAATTTAGGTCCCAAAATTGAACCTTGTGGAACTCCGTGTGTTATGAGCTGTTTATTTGAGTTGACATTATTTATATGGACATACTGGTCTCTTTTACTTAAGTAACTTTCCACCCAATTGTGAGCAATTCCCCGGATACCGTATCTGTGAAGCTTCTGAAGAAGAAGTGAGTGGTCTATGGTGTCAAAAGCCTTACTTAAGTCTATAAAAACACCTACAGTATGTTCGTTGTTATCAATTGCAGTAGTAACGTCTTCAGCAAGAGCCATGACCGCCATCGTGGCAGATCTGTTAGTTCGAAAGCCAAACTGATTGTCACTTAACAAGTGATATTTTTCAATAAAATTGTCCAGTCTGTTAACAAATAGTTTTTCTAAGATTTTTGAGAACTGTGAGAGGAGTGAGATAGGTCTGTAATTTGTGAATAGATGTTTATCACCACTTTTATAAATGGGAATTACTTTTGCTGTTTTCATTTTTCTAGGAAAAATACCTGTACGGAAAGATTGATTGCAGATGAATGTAAAGGGTGTGCTGATGTAATTTATGATTTCCTTGACCAACGTCATGTCCAAGTTAAGACAGTCCGTTGACCTTTTGTTTTTAAAGTTGTTAACAATACTAATTATTTCATATTCTTCTACCCCTCTTAAAAATAAGAGTTGGAATTCTGTTTAACTAAACTATCTACTAAATTTCCACTATTATTTACTTGAATTCCACCAGCCAATGTAGGTCCTACCTTTGTAAAAAAGTCATTAAAGGCGTCTGCAATTTCACTTGTACAGGTGTTTTCATGATTATTAATTATAAAATAATTTGGAAGTGCATTTTCTTTTTTCCCATTCTTAATTAGACCATTTAGTATTTTCCATATTCCACTGATATTACTTTGATGATGTTCCAGTAATTTGTGATAATAATTTTCCTTATTCACTCTGATTATATTAATTAATTTGTTTTTGTATGTTTTATATTTTTCTTCTGCGACTTTATTTCTATGTTTTAGGTATAATTTATAAAGATTGTTTTTCTTTTTGCATGCATTTAATATGCCCCGAGTGATCCACGGCTTATCTACTTTATATTTGGTCTTTTTTTGCTTTAAAGGACAATATTTGTCATAGAGTTTGGTTGTAATAGCTGAAAAGGCATCATAGGCCCGATCAGGATCCTCAGAGGCATAGACCTCTTCCCAAGTTTGAACACTTAGATCTGCCTTGAAAGCGGCCATGGCTTCGGGTGATCTATGACGGATCAGTTTCTGTATAACGGTATTAGCTGTTTGGGATTTGTGTAAAAAATGATGGAAGACACTAAAGACAGGGAGGTGATCACTTATATCATTGATGAGTAGTCCGGCTGTGATTTCACTATTTATCTCATTTGTAAAGATATTGTCTATTAGTGTAGCTGTGCTGCTTGTTATTCGACTGGGTTTGAGGATTAGCGGGCGGAGGTTATTGCTGTACATAGTAGTAGTGAAATTTGATGTTTGTATGTTTCTGTGAGGATTAAGAAGGTCTATATTGAAATCTCCACAGACAATGTGAACTTTGTTTACATTGTCAAAGAGGTTTCCAACTTCCTTATTAAAAGTGTTTACACATGATCCCGGTGTTCTATACAGACAACTAATGAGTATATTTTTTGAGCTGTTTACAGCAATTTCGACAGTAATACATTCCATAACCCCGTCAATTATGGTAGTTTTCCTGTCGTCGAGCTTACTCTTCAGGTTGTTGTGCACATACAAAGCGACACCACCACCCTTTTTCCCTTTCCTATTTAGTGTGAATAAATCATAACCCTCCATTTCTACATTATCCTTTTCAGTATCCAACCACGTCTCCGACACAGCAATTATTGAAAATTTGGCAAACTGACTCAAATACTCTTTTATACCGTTATAGTTTTTATACAAGCTCCTACTATTGAAATGTATGATTGTAAATGCTCCTTCTGTATTAATCTCTTTAAATTGTTCATCACTGTAGTATTTACAATCAGTCACTAAATCTTTATAGAAATTACAATCAGGATCTATGTCACTATCAAATTCATTCACCTTGTAGTCCAGAGAATCATGTAAATTTACAGACACATTTTCATACTTTTTATAAAAAACACTAGCTTTATTTCGGTCTTCATGGAGGTCAACATCACTGGAGGACTCGGATTCTGGTTCCTCCTCATTAATTGAGGTAATCATTGGTTTTGATAGGGACAGTTAGATTTAAATACCACCGTCGTCCTCTAGTCTCCATACCAAATTCAACAACACATTTATACGCCACAATCACAGCGTTCAAATATGTCCAAAATGTGAAGGCTCCTTCTGATTGCGAAAGAATAATTCCAGTCCACCATCTCCGAGGAGGTAAAATGATAAAATCCAAGATTGTCAATAAGAGTCCTTTGGGAGGTAACCTTTCCAGTGTGCAAGTCCACTCCAAGGTATATTCATAAGTATTATCTTTGTAGGTCCACAGAGTCCAGCAGGACAAGGCACAAGGATCTTTAATAAATACCATATTCCTCAGAATAAAGCCCCAGACTCCATCAATAAAGACAATTTTTATTTCATTCATAATTTAAATATTGTCTAGTTTCAAGCCGTTTTAGTTTCACTGTCGGGTCTGTTTTTTGTAGCATTACTTAAACTGTTCAAGATCTTTGAGTTCTCTTACCAGTAAAACCTTGGCTTGTTCTGGAGTGGCTCCATTCAGTTGGATGAAGACCTTGCAATTTCTGGTCCACGTCGATTTGATTTTGTTGTTCTTCCTCAAGATGCGTGCTTCACGCGCAATTGTGGCCGTTTTATGAGTGAGATGCTCATTAAGGTATACCGCAGATCCTTTCAGCTTCTTCCCTTGCTTTAGCAGATCTGTTTTAACTTTTCTGTTAACAAACCGCAGAATAATGGCAGGCTTAGTCGCGTCCCTCCTTGGGAGAGTATGACATGCTGCTATATTTCCTGCGTCCAAATGTATGTCCTTTTCAGCCAGAAAGTTCAGGACTTGCCCCTCCAGCGACTGTAGGTCCCCGGGCTCTGCATCTTCGCTGATGTTTCTCCCTCCGGCTGCTGCTCTAGCGTAAGAGCGTGGTTTCACATTCATCCCTGTAATGATAACGTCTTCCATTCGCGTATACTGTTCAATGTTATCGATCCTTTTCTCTAGTTCCTCAATTCTTTTATCTCTTGAGATTAAAGTCTCTCTTAGTTGTTTGACTTCCTCGTGTAGTTCCGTAAGCTTGGCCAGCTGTTGTGTTACCATAGCCAGCTCCGCCGACATGCTGTTCAGTGCCTTACGAATCTCCTCCATATCGTTTTCCGTCTGCGTTGCTTTCTTTGGTGGCATTGCCTCCTAATACAATTTAGTTTGAACTCACTTGCGTTTACAATTATTGGAAAACTTTACTTTTAGCAGATCGCAAAGACAGCGGTCTTACAGGGCGCCGCCATCTTGATTGTTCGATCACTTGTGATGCAACAAGAATATACAGTATGTGAAGGGCTAAACAAGATGCTTTTGCTGTAACATGATCTGCTCTTATCTGATGGTAATATACAATTGCCAAACATGCAACAATGTCATTATTTGTCATAAACTTCTAACTCAAATAAAGTCCTCTTCAAACATTCCTGACATGCAACAAATTATTGTTGGTCTATATTTTTGTTAAATCTTTTACAGTATTAAACTACACCAAACATCAATAATTATTTCATTGATTGATGTAACACTTTGTTTCCAATTATTATATCAATATCAATTTACAATTGTTAGATAATAGAATATTTTAAGCCCTGCCACTTTTATAGTTGCACATTATCGTAGTCACTACTACTAATTTTGGCGTGTTTCATGTCAAAACATTTTGGGTGAAATGTTAAATTCTGAACTTAACAAGTTTCTATATTCATTTTTTTTTCTTCAAGGTCAATCAAGGCTTTCCAGGAGGTGCTTTACATTGACCCTACCTTCTCCAAAGCTAAAGAAATCCATTTGAGACTGGGGCTCATGTTCAAAGTCAACACCGACTACGAGTCCAGCTTGAAGGTAAAGTCATTTTGCTCTACAGCTCCTAAAGAAGTGCGGGGGCTTTCAATGGGCCTGTGTGGCTAAATTACATGTCTATGTGATTGTGTGTCATAATTCAAAGTCATGTAAGGACCTGGCCTCTTGGGTTACCAGCTTTCCAAAAAGCTTATTGTACTATTGAGACTGTGTAGTGTATTCTGTTTCATAAGGTTTACATAAACTGTAAAGCTCAGACATGGGGTCTTGACAATCGAAGTGCATCATTTTTTAAGGTTTGTTTGTTTAGATATTCTTTTTGTCTATTGTAGTGTACTATGTATAGATTTATATAGTACATTTATTTTCTATTATTGGCGTGTAAGGATGGGCTGGTGGTACATTGTAGGCAGCACGTGCTGCACGTCCTCACTCTCCTTGTTCACAGTAAGCCCTCCCCTCAAGTTCTGGCTTGTTGCCAGCCTCACATACGCCCATGAACACACTTCTATAGTGGCCTAGATATCTATGAGTGTAAGGTGTGAGTTTTGATGGACGGCAACATTACAGAACAAAGATGTACAAAATATACCAGCATTTTTTTTATTAAATTAAGAGCTAATGTTGATTCTTCAGTTACAATCAGTACAATCATTTGGATTTATTTAATCAGTACATGGTTAAGTTGCACAAAACTAAGACGAGGTAAGATGAGTGTCTGCTTTTTGTCATCAGTGCTCTCTGAGCTGCAGCCTTCTGGTGAATAGTAATCAGTGACACCAGGGTAGAGGAGGGGGGGTGAGAGAGGTGCACAGATAGTAGAGAGAGAGAGAGTGAAGGCGAGACATGGAAAAGCCAGGCTGACAATTCTGCTGCATTATCTGGCTGCTGCAAGAGGAAGTGTGAAAGGCAAAGCAAGGAAAGAGCGAGACAGACCTTGCAGAGGATGCTGTGGTTCTCCAGGCGAGTGCTCTAGGTAACGACGTGTGCTCTGTCCTTAATTGTGTTTGTGTGCTATCTCACTTCAGGGCTTCTGGCTGAAAGCACGAGTGACATTTTGTGACTGGTTAAAATGGGTCTATTTTTAGCATTGCCCCATTTGTGTGTCTGTGTGTGTGTGTGTCTGTGTTACTATGGCCGCACGTGCCAGTTTACCGGCCCTGATTGAAGTATGATATGCAAATCCTTCTCTGCTCTGTCTTGGCGGCTTTTTATTACAACCTGACAGTATTATGATTAACATTTTTTGAGTCTATTGAATGAGTGTGATATTTTTTTTTTTTTGGGTTGTGGACCGTAAGACCAAAACAAAAAAAACCTGAGCAATCCAGACCACCAACAGGACAGTTTGTTCTTGAACTGTGTGAGTTAATCTGCAGATTTTGATGCTAAAATTCTTCCATGTATGGATGTTTATTAGTACTATTGAACTTATCTGAAATATGATTTCATAACAACAAATATGGGCAATGCTATTTGGTGCTTTGCCATCTCAATGAGTTGATGCCTGTATTAGCTCATCTGGTCAATGACCCAGACTGTGTGGATATTGTCTTTTAGTGGACCACACCTTGACGCCACTCTATCTGTTTCATTCATATTTTTTCAGACATATATGCTTCAAATGCTGTTCTCTCCCAAATGTGTGCTCTGTACAAAGAGAAGAAAAGGTTATTGCAAGACAGACAGCATTTATACGGATCAGTCCCTGCAGCTATCACTGTCCACTCATATTACACTCATCTCTTCATTTATGTCTTCTTAGAGCTCTGTAGAGCTTTCAGGGAAGGAAAGTGTCCAGGGAAATGCAGGTTCACCCTGAGAGAAGGGTATAAGAACATTTGTCTCTCTGCACACATTATGTACAGTAGATATACCTACATGTTTTGTATTTCACAACTCGATCTGAAAAAATAACAAACCAATTTATATTGATTCATATTTTCAACATAAGGGATAGTTTTTTCTGTCTGACACAAAAAATGGTTTAAATTAAATAATATATGAATGTAGGTCATAAGAGTTGTAAGGCAGAAGCTGAAGTCTCAGGAACCCTCCAGACATTGGGTCGTTCCATCATCCCAAGGAGTCTAGGCCTGTTGTCTCAACCAGTCTACTCAGGTCTGTTGTGCTATCCAAGCCTACTAATAGGGCATCCATGATTTCTTAATAAATTAGTTAAACCTCATTTACATAAACCTGCATTATGTTAATTTATTCATGACCCTATTTCCCTTCTGTCTCATACCTTCCCTTTCCTTAATAAAGGTGTTTCTTCTCAGTTACAGGTGTGAAACTTGTATCACTTGCATCACATTGTTACTATAGTTGCAATTTTCATTAATTCATGGATTTCTGTCTTTTCAGCACTTTCAACTGGCTTTGATTGACTCCACTCTTTGCACTTTGTCCAAAGCTGAAAGTAAGTTTTGTTATGGTCTCAACACAAACTTGAGTAATAGACATAGTAGTCCCATGTGGTTAGGAATGATTAGATGTGTGTATCGCAACCCTGGGTCATCTATACAAAACATTTTCCTCCTCCTTTTTTCTACCATCTTTCGACTTATTATCCATGACATTGGTTGCCTAGGGAACAGCAGAAGAAGAAATCGCCCTACACGGTGTGATTTCAGATCGTGTTCTCACTGGAGGAAGGCTTTAGTCCCCTCCCATCTGTGCACTGTACTATTTCAGTCTGTGTCCACTAATTAAATATGTGATAAAACAACTTCCAACAGTTTCCTCCTAACTCCTCCCTCTGCTCTCCACAGTTCAGTTCCACATCGCTCATTTGTATGAGATTCAGGTAAGCATCAACTACATTTGTACTTCACTGCTTGATAATTATTATTAATGGAAATTAAAACATTATAATGAATTTTCAATGCACCATAATTTATCTCTTGTTTTAGTTGTGTGTGTGTGTGTCTGTGTCTTGAGGAGAGCTCTCACTGCCTCTAACAGATCCTTTGAGCTGTGTCATATAACTACAAAACACTATAAACCTCCTCTTTGATGTTGCTTTGACCTAACCTGGCTGCTTTTAACTTGAGCACCTGTCTTGTCAGCCTGTTGATTCTTCTGCAAATTTCCATAATGGATAATCAAAAGGCATAACTATTTTATATTTCTAAGTTGATTCTGATTCAGAAATATAATTTGCATTAATATCCAAAAGTAATATATACTTACCGGTAATGTAATAATATCTACACCTATGGGTTGGCTACTGTCCACTGTGATTCATCCCTGTTGATTTCAATTCTGATTAACTAGATTGTTCATTCGATTTACAGAGCGAGCAGTCTTGTCATATGTAAAACAGAGCATTCTGACATTCTTTAATTGAGAAATATTATATGATTGCACAGTATCAGCGTCGTTATGTGTAAAATGCAATATTTGAATACAAATTCAGTACTGTAATAATGAAGTTCCACTGCTTTTGGAGGAAAGATGTTCATCCTTTGCCCAAAGAGCTGCATTTCCTGCGCACTAGTGTCATGTTAGTGTTGTAAGAATTAGCCCTGGTTTGATGACGATCGATAGTCTGAACAGGAAGAGACCACTAGCTTGTCTTGTTCATGTTTCTCAAGTGTCCATTTCCCCCCAGGGTGTTTTAATAGTTTGTCAACAGGAAGGGCATGCGACCAGAGCAAGAGTGTGTTTGTTCTGTCCACACTTTTAGACATTTTGATCTATTATGAAGGCTGGGTAATTGTTAGCAGCGATAAGATTCATCCGGCCCAAACGGTTCAGTCTCAAGGTTAGTAAGGTTACATAGCAAAAGCAAACAGCAGGCCCTCTTCAGACCAGGCGGGTCAGGTTTCTCTTAAATACAAAGACCTTAGTGCTCCCAGAACCTTCCCACAATGGACCCCAGACGTGTGTGTCTGGCATGTGCGTCCCACTGACCCTCCCCCGTTTGGGCGTGAGTTGGGATGGTCATTATCAGTCTTAGGAGGTCTTAAGACTCTTTGTGTCTGTCCAAACGCCACCATAAAACTTTGACCTCCTGTCTGGCTTCAACAACTCTTCAATTTGTTGATTGTGCAGAAGAAATACAGAGCAGCGAAAGAAGCGTATGAACGGCTGCTGCAGACTGAAGATCTCCCGGTGCAGGTGAAGGCGACCACTCTGCAACAACTTGGTGAGTTGTTTAAGCAATTTATATAAATATTGGCCTGTATGGTGTGGATAGAGCCCGACTTTTAAAATATTATCCTTTCAAACGATTTGTCATTTATAGTCATGTCAATATAAGACATTTTGGCCGACGATGTTTTAATATGGAGATAGCATAGAACATTTCTATGAACCATTGTAAATGTGTTCTTTATCAAAGCTATAAGCTTTTAACGATCATAAATACAAAACGTTCACGTTCGACTAAAATGTCGTCTTATTACAGAGAAAATTACCAACAATCACTATTTAACACTTAAACTTGGACATCAGGTGTGAAAAAAATGAGTATGAAAACCACACTGTTCAAGATAATGAACATAATCCATAAGTGACATACAGAAAATACTTTATTGACATTTGTATAAAATTGTTGTACATTTCTTGTCCTGCTCTTTTCACATTGATAGCACCTAATCCCGGAGAAATTCACATATATAGCCTTCCTATAACGCATTTGTGCCAATATTAGGCCTCCTTACATGCATATTGACCTGACACGTGCCACTCTCTGCAAAAAAACAGGAACGCATATGTGTGTTTCAATAGGACTTGTGTTTTCTCATCAACCTTGAGAACAGTTTTTACTTGGTTTTTAATAATCAGAAGTGTGAGGGCAGAGAGAAAATAATAATAAAACTATGTGTAAGATACCAAAATTGAGATTGCGATGTCCTTTAGTTATTGAACAATAAATGTTTATATAGAGAAGGGGGTTCTAAGGACCAGGGATGCTCCGGATATTTAAGAATATTCCTCTTTCCTGCGGTTAATCTGTCTATGAATTGTTTTCATTTTTTGATTTTATAATTTGCTATTGGCAAATTAACATTTTGGTGAAGTCTTTTGAGACAACTGCTTTTGTGATTTATGGTGGTATAAAAATAATTGTGGCGGCCCAAGCACAGACCACCACCATTTATTATTTATTTCAAATATGTAGTGATTTGTTCCCTGTCCGGTTTCCAAGGTTTCCTGAAACTTTTGTGACTCTCCACTCCACTTTGATAATATACATCTTTTGTAATTGGAAATACCACCCAAATACTTGGATATAGAATTTGTTAACTCTAGGTGTAAAACCATAATGTACAGTCTTGAGTTAGAGCGGCGAACATTAGGTGCGTTTTACTCATTCTCTTATTGATGAGATTTTTGTGATTTAAGTTTACTATTTCCTACAACGCTATCTTGGGCGGTTAATCAATCAAACAAAAACTCTAAGCCATGGTCACAGCACATTAATGTCTAAGCCTTCCTTTACTCTATAGCCCATCCCCTCTCGTTTCATCTCATTCAGTGGTAAAAGCCGTTTCTGCTTTAGCTGTCTGTTGTTGTCATGGTGACCTGCAGAGATTACCCCCAGGTGCTGTAGTTTCACAAGTATTCAAATGCATGTACTCCTATACATTTTAAACCAGGGGTGCTCAATACGTCGATCGCGATCTACCAGTCGATCGCAAAGGTAGTATTGGTAGATCGCATTAAATAAATGAAAAAATTACACTTTCTAAACGAATATATACAAAAAACTCCGGGCAAAGTGGAGATTTTTGAAAACTCCGTTAATGCATTTGTGTGTAGACAGAGATAACCGGAGTTTTGCGTTCTTGCACGACACAGTACCCCCCTAAATTCCTCTGATCACTGAAGCATGGATCATACGACCTTAAAAACTGTTCGCTGTGAGATGCTCGCAGCAGCGAACATCCTTGCTCCACATCAGAGAGCAGCAAAGTGATCGCGGGGACTCACGCTCGAAAACAACCAAACCAGGACTAAACCAGGACTTAACCAGGACTAAATCAGGGCTGAGGACGGGGTCAGTGCTTGTAAACATACGTCTTTAGTCTTCTATGACTGTAAAAGTGCCGTTACCGGCATCTGCATCAAAGCTCCGCCCACTTCTGTGTTTTTCCCCAACGCAGGACAGGACGTAAGAGACGCACATGTTTGGAATGTTACGAATGTGATTGATAACGCAGATGTGTGGATGCAAATTATTTTATAAACTGAGGAGGGGAAATATTTGGATTTAAAAAAAACAGGCATGGCACATGGACATGGCACCACAGTCAAATGACATCTGTGTTTTACTCAGTAATGTTTTACTGACACTTAGGTGACTGCACATGCGCAAATAACCGCGCTCAGTGCAGGAAAGCTAAACCACGACAAACTTGTCAGCGAGTTACCACCAATTTTCCGGACTATGCATCCCTGGCCGATTCAATTCAGTGCAAGTCATCAGAGTAAACTCGGGTAATGACAAAAAATGTACATAGGTAATTGTGTTGTGTTGTGCTATATTGGCTCATGCGGTTTTGCATGTACATAAACATACATTGTAGGTATAAAGAATATTTTTTGAAATAAATATATGATTTGCATTTTTGTAGTAGGTAGATCATTTTGACTTGATCCTTTTATAAGTAGCTCGCATGCTGAAAAAGTGTGAGCACCCCTGTTTTAAACACATCATTCTTGTGTACTTTGTAGATGGTTGTATTGAGCGTTTCTAATTGGTTGATTCCTCTGAAGTTAGAATATCACCTGAATGAAAATTGTCAAGTTCATTTACTTCATTTACAGTCCTTCATTTTGGTTTGTACCCCAAGACATAAAGCTTGCCCCATTACAGGGTCCACTATGTGTTTATACAATGTGTTTTGATAAATGAATATTCCTATAACTGGTGTTAAAAGCGTATTGAGGTTTTTCCATATGAATAATAATAATAATGATACGTCAAACTTATAGCCTGTTTTTGGATACTAAAAGACGCTTTACAAAACACATACAAATAAACTTCGAAGAACAAAAACAGCTGAAGCTGGAACGGGTGGGATTTGAGAAGTGATTTAAAGTTGTGTAGTGAGTCAGACTGTCTGATGGGTTGTGGAAGTGAGTTTCAGAGAGTGAGTTATTGAGAACTTCACATATGGTGTGATTATAATTTCTATGCTGATACTTGGGGGATGAATTCAGCAGATATATGTAATAAGGCAGAGTTTTCCCTTTCGTTTTGTTTTGGACTTATCTGACAGCTATATTTTCTGTGTATCTAACCCTTGCAAACAACTTGATGATTTTGTGTAGGCTGGATGCATCACACAGCAGAGCAGCTTGGAGATAAAGGCACAAAGTACAGCTATGCCATCCAGTGTCTGCAGAAGTCTATAGAGGCTGACCCAGACTCGGGCCAGTCCTGGTACTTTCTTGGCAGGTAAGAAAAACACAAAGATGTAATGTTATTTTCTAACTTTACTGTTAGAAAATAACATCACACTTAGGCCTGTCGCGATAGTCAATAAATCAATTAATCGCACGATAAATAAAATTTGCTCAATAACTTTTCTGGCCGCGATAAATCCCATTTACATGCTTGTTTGTTTTCCCCGTCTCTCTCTCCCCCGTCGCTCTCGGGTCAGAGAGCCGCAAAGTGGTCACGGGAACATTAGCGGTCTAGCAAGCAGACGGAAATTACTCAAAAATACAAAATACAGCCAAAACAGGACCTAAACCAGGACTTAACCAGGATTGACAATGGTGGACACAGTAGTTGTGAACATATGCCGGCAGCTGAGTTCTCATTCAGGCTTGATTAGTGACTATACTAGCGCAGCTAGCGTTAGCGTGTTCGCCGATGTAGAAGTACCGTACCATACCAATAAAATAAACTTATGGCGCACCTCCGTGAACACATACTGCTGTTATATAAAGTCTCTAGAAGGTCTCTGAACTCAGAGATGCTGCAGACTTGCATTCTTGGAGTAGAACTTTACACAAAAAACCCGCTAGCTTAGCTGTTAGCATCAAAGCCTGCCCCGCTACTTCCGGTGGGCGCTACCGCAGCAGGACTTCTGTACGCCCCATTGGTGAACCCACATGTCAGTCACTTGTCATTCGCCTGGTGTGTGGGGAGGTGGGACTACTGGCGTAGCCCACAGAGTGCAGCTGAGGAGCCGCGAGAGAAGTTTACCGGTAGGCACTACGCAGAGAGAAAGCTAGTTGCGAGTGCGGGACAAAACGATGGAATTGGTTTCCAAGCCAAACGCGACAGCTGCAGTGTGGGAGCATTTCGGATTTAAACCGAATGCCCGAGGTGAACCACTGAACATGTGCGAGTCGGTGTGTCGCATTTGTTGGAAAACAGTTGCAGTTAAAAGCGGCAACACAACAAACTTACATATGCATCTACAACACAATCAGTTTATTGTGTTCTACCGTTAAATATTCGTTAAAAATAAAAGTTTATTTCTCTTTGAAAAGGTGTACCTGCATTATCATTGTAATCGATGATCTCAGAACGACAATATAATCGCTTATCGCAATAATTTCTGAGACAATTAATCGTCCAGCAAAATTTGTTATCGTGACAGGCCTAATCACACTGACACCTTTTGATTTGTGGTCTTTTGTTTTGGGAATGGCACTGACCCAATAAATACAAATAATCATTTTATTAATTTGACAACCATGGCCTGAATGCTTTATAAACCATGACTTTTCTTTTTACATAGTATTGCTCATAAACCTTTTACAATGTATGTACTATATTTGCTTCATAAATGATTAAATCAGAGTCTTCTAAATGGCAAAGGTAAATGCCAAACAAACTTGAGGTCTCTAGTTGACTTCAAGGCCTTTCCAGTCTTGTCAGAAAGCCTTTTCCTTTAATCTTCTGTGGTCATCTTTCTTTCAGGTGTTACTCCAGTATCGGAAAGGTGCAGGATGCCTTCATCTCTTATCGGCAGTCAATTGACAAGTCGGAGGCCAGTGCTGACACCTGGTGCTCAATAGGGTAAGTGCAACTAGGGAACTCTATCGGATTACTATTGACATTTATTTTCCCAATTTGTGTATTAAATATACATGTATTTGTGCAATACAATAGGAACAATGTATTTGTTGTATATATTCTTAATAATATATCAGAGCTGTATAATTGCTGATTTAGCCTTGACTGGTGTGTTTCTGCAGGGTGCTCTACCAGCAGCAGCACCAGCCTATGGATGCACTCCAGGCTTACATCTGTGCTGTTCAGTTGGACCATAGCCACTCTGCTGCCTGGATGGACCTTGGGACTCTGTATGAGTCCTGTGGTCAGCCACATGATGCTATCAAGTGTTATATCAATGCAACACGTAGCAAGTCCTGCCTCAACACTGCTGCCCTCACTCAACGCATTAAACTGCTGCAGGTGAGACCCAGACCTTTTTATTTCACCTTTAGGTCAGTGGTGCTCAAACTGGGGGTTGCAGGACTTATGGTGGGGGTCGCGAGAGGATTTTTGGATGACTACTTATCTACTTTTTACCCTGCCCTATATGTATATAACTTTGCACTATGCATATATAGATATTAATATATCTATATCAATGTTTGAATATTTAGGATTTACTTAAAAACCCTACACAGATCATGCAAAGCAGTGTTAATTTATAATTAACAGTTCCCAATCTCATCCTGTGTAATGCAGTTGCCACGTTTACTGCATACTTACTTCTGACCGCGGATAAAACATGTAAATATTTGTGGACAAAATATTTGTAATTGTGTATTCTTTACATAATGCGTTACTAGAATTTCCACGATACTTATCTGGAAGCTGTGACCTTTACAGATTTGGGCTATTATATTGTCTTTACGTGTGATTCTTCCCTAGGCCCAGTTGTGTAACCTTCAGACAGGTACGCTTCAGAATAAGAGTAAAATGCTTCCTAGCATTGAAGAGGCATGGAGCCTTCCTATTCCAGCGGAGCTCACGTCTCGTCAGGGAGCTCTGAACTCTGCACAGACGCAGCAGGTGAGACCTCCGCCTCGGCACGCCCATTCCTCCTGACCCCTCAAATGGTTTTTGTTGTAGATGCACTTGTGTTTTTAGTTGTGTTTAATTTATCTATTTTTACATTTACTGTGTGATAAAATGTTTTGACCTTTTTTGGGCTGGACATTATTATTTTGCATAATTCTTAGGCTTGTAAGACACATACAGACCCATCGGCAAGCAATCACACAGACTCGCTGGCCAGTCCTGCCAAGAGGAAACGCACTGCCAGCCCAGTCAAGGTACGACTTTGACAACATATACTCTCCGTACAAAAAGTTAGGGATCTATGGCTCAATTGAAATATGTTCATGGAACAATTTGTTTATTGAAATAATAGAGTATGTTCTATGAAAGGAAAATCCAACAGGCGGTCTGTGAAATGATGTACTCATCAATACTCAATACCTTTCTTCTCTCCAGGGAGCAGAGCCGTTGACAAATGGCTCAAATCAACAACCAATGCCCAGCTGGTATCTCACACCACAGAAACTTCAGGTGAATTTAAAGAATAAAACACTCTAGTAGATTCCCCATTGATTTTAACCACATTCACATTGTTTTATGTTTTTCATTTACCAGCTTTTGGACCATTTGCGAGCAAACCGAGAGACTCTCAAGCCTCCTCAGGTTCAAATGTTAGAGCAGCTAGAAAAACAGTGCACTCTAATGCAGCAGCATCAGCAGCAGGTAGTTACTTAAAATGATGATTAAAGAATACCCATTGTCATGCATTACATGAATCAAACAAAATTCTTTTTAAATGTTTCTCCTACATTACTGACAGTATATTTTCTTTTTCCTTTTCAGATGAGGCAGCAGGCGGCAGCAGGGGGACAGCCTCGGCCAAACCTCCCCAACGGCCCGTTGGCTGAATCCTCCAAGCATCTTGCAGGCCTCCCGCTGAGCGCTTCCAATCACACAAACATAACTGCCAATGGCTCCTGTTCATCCAGTCCCACGCCTGCACCAAAAGAACACCTCAGCACGGGCTCTCTGGACAAAAACCACACAGCCGGTCTGGAAGGTGGTAATGCGAGCAATGGAAACGTGCCTTACACGCAGTCGAACTCTCTACCTCACAATTGTATCGCCACCAGTCATCCCAGCACCAGCAGCACCAACACAAGCCCCAGTCAAGCTGACGAGCCCTGGAAGAGCCAGCAGCTTAACAATAGCACTCAGGTAGAAGTCTTTATAAATGTTTAATATGTCCTTTTTTGGTCACAATCATGTTACTGAATTATGTTTGTTTTGTGTCCCAGGGACTAGATAAAGGTCCAGGTTCACATTCGGCAGGTCCCAATGGAGAACTCCCTCTTTCTTCTGCTAACTCCCCTCAGACATCCTTCTCTTCCGCTGGCATTTTGAATCAGGTGGGACCCTCGTCTGGGCCCTGCACAGTCTCCTCTTCTGCCTCGTCTCTGTCCCCCACGTCCCCACAGCGCACACCCAACCACTTGTCCTCCCCTCTGCACTCCTCAACTACCTCAGGGGTTCACACCAAAGACAGCACGCCTTCAAGCAGCGATGGGTCAGAAAACACCACCAGGCACTGCGCAGGCTTCAGCCCCAGTACCACCTCTACTCTGGGACGGACCAACTCTGCCGGCCCATCTCGACCTGAGTCGCCTCTCTCTAAGACGTCAAGTTCAGACAATCCTCAGCAATCGGCCTTGCTCAAGGGAAAAGCCAATACTACCAATAATGATGATAACAATACCTGCAGTAACCATGGTGGTCCCACCTCAGAGAAACTCAATAATGTCCATCCGTGTGTCCTTGCCAAGTCGGAGCACTCTATGGCGTCCTCGCCGCTCTCAGCCCCCTCTCCCTGCTCCGCCAGTACCCTGTCCTGCCTTAACAGTCCATCCAGCTCCAATCAAGGACCCACTGTCAACGGGAAGACGACAGAGGACTCTCACAGTCCGCTCAAGGTGGAGCCTTTGGTTGTTCTTCGACATAAAAGCTCTGCTTCTCTGACCCCATGGTCCTCAGTGTCAATCTATCCCACCTCCAGTGAGGTGCTTAAAGCTTGCAGGTCAGCATTGTGTGTGTGCTCACAATTGGATCAGGCAAATGATTTATTTTTGCCGCTTAAAATATAATGCTTCTGTCAATTTAACAGGAATCTGGGAAAGAATGGGTTGTCTACCAACAGCGTTGTATTGGACAAGTGTCCTCCACCTCGGCCCCCGGCTCCTCCTTTGCCTCCATTGCCAAAGGATAAGCTCAACCCCCCAACCCCGAGCATTTATGTGAGTCATTTTTGTGCAGACTGTGATGATAATGTGGTTGAGATCTCTACATAGCTCTTTATTTATGCTATTTAATGTTTCTTTCAAACTTTAGCTTGAAAACAAGAGGGATGCTTTCTATCCTCCACTGCACCAGTTCTGTACTAATCCTGCCAACCCAGTCACTGTCATCCGGGGTCTGGCCGGAGCTCTTAAATTGGGTAAGTGCCATAGGCCAGATGCATGGTTACATGCATGGTGCTTTAGATTTGATCCAACCATGCAGTGCAGTTGGCAACTGTATAGTCTTACTGGAGATCCATCATCAGGATGAATACTGTATCTAGCTTGAATGTAGAATACTCCTCGTTTTCCTCCGAGCCTTTGTGCAGGGTCTGGATCTGTCCTCCATGACTTTGTGTGAGCTCTGTGTTTGACAACAGCACCACCTGCAAGTTAAAAATGTCATTGCAGACCCTGTCACTGAAGTATTGAAATATAAATCTATGATTGTATATGGAATGCATTATTTTTATATTTAGTATGACATTTTCAAACAAAAGGGGCGACAGTAGCTCAGTTGGTAGAGCATTGGCCTTAAGGCCAGAAGGTCGTGGGTTCAATTCCCACCTCTGCACCTTCTCCATCGACTCCCACTGATGACTGCTGTCGTTGTGTCCTTGGGCAAGACACTTAACCCCACTTTGCCCAAAGCCCCCACTGAAAGATCAAGGCTATGCTCACACTCAGAGAGCAGCCGTCCTCCTGTGGACTCACCACCTGCAGAGGGTCAGTGAGGGGCTGGTGCTATGAGACTTGGGTGGCATCTCTGACTGCCACCCCCCTGACCCAGAAATGGATTAAAGGGTAGAAAATGGATGGATGGATGGATTTTCAAACTGACAATTTCTAGTTGAATTACAATAATATTACAGTGAAATGTGAATGTATGCATATATTTTTCCAGACCTGGGTTTGTTCTCTACTAAGACTCTGGTGGATGCCAACCCTGACCACCTTGTGGAGGTGCGCACACAGCTTTCCCAGCCCAAAGACGAGAACTGGGATCAAATTGGAAGCAAGAAAATGTGGCGATGTGAAAGCAGTCGCTCCCACACCACCATCATTAAATACGCCCAGTACCAGGCCTCGTCCTTCCAGGAGTCTCTGCGGGTCAGCCACAAGTCTGACATTGAACTGTGACATGACTTTCTGTTCATGGTTAAACAGGTTTCTTTGTCCTTTTTTTTACAGGAAGAAAATGAGAAAAAGAAAGAAAATGAAGCTGAATCTAGCACATCAGATGGGTACATATACTTTTAACTTATTTGGAGAGTCATATACAGTTCTTGAAAAGCAGTTTGCTCTTATTTTAGTGCAATGCGCAGGAGGAAAGGACCTTTCAAAAATCTAAAATTTGGCACCAACATAGATCTTTCTGATGAGAAAAAGTAAGTTCTTTATTATCAACTCGTCAAATGGGAGAACACAAACCCCCTCACAATTTTTCTATGTGTTTTCAGATGGAAACAGCAGCTCCAGGAGCTCAGTAAACTGCCAGCCTTCTCTCGTGTGGTGTCTGCTGGAAACCTGCTTAGCCATGTGGGACACACCATCCTGGGCATGAACACGGTGCAGCTCTACATGAAGGTTCCAGGGAGTCGGACCCCAGGTAAAAACTATGGCATGAAAGAACTTCCTCTGGGTTTCTGTGAGCTCAGTACAACTCAATCATCTCACCATCTGCAGGGCACCAGGAGAACAACAACTTCTGTTCTGTAAACATCAACATTGGCCCTGGAGACTGTGAGTGGTTTGCGGTGCCTGAACATTACTGGGGAGTCATCAATGACTTTTGCGAAAAGTACGTTTTATATCCTGGTTTATCTTTGGATGATTCTTTTTACATTTCTAATTGTCCAACTCTCTTGCCTTTCAGAAACAACATTAACTTCCTGATGGGGTCGTGGTGGCCTAATCTGGAGGACCTTTACGAGGCTAGTGTTCCAGTGTATCGCTTCATCCAGCGCCCTGGAGATTTAGTGTGGCTCAACACTGGCACTGTCCACTGGGTTCAGGCCATTGGCTGGTGCAACAATATTGCCTGGAATGTGGGACCTCTTACAGGTGATTATTTTTCATGTGGAGTAGAAAGTAGTTGCTATTCTTTTGTATTATCATTTGCAACCTCCGGCCTAGGGTTTCCTGGTGCCACTTGCACAAGGACAAACTGTAACGCGCACAGAAGTCCAATAACTGAACACTGATTGGGTTCAGACAGGGGGGCTGTTCTTCCCAAGGACCCCTCCCAACCCCCGAACTCGGTGGGTCAACATGGCGGTTGCAATGGGGGCCAATGAGTAAGCCCACGCCAGCTTTTAGCCAGAGAAGTGGAAAGTTCAACCCCTCTTAAGGAGTTTGGTTCTAGAGCCCGAGCTGTGTGAGGAGGTGAGGACGAATACCTCATGTTCCACGTCCTCACAGCAGATACCATGTGCTTAGACTGGGTTCAGTGGGCTTTGGGTAATGGCCAAAATATTGAGCATGAAAGCTGTCGGAATGATTTTCTTCTGTTAACTGACTGGACGCTCCCTTTTAGATATGGCATGTGGAGCTCTGAATAGAGCCGCTGCTTTTCCTCGTCTAGAGGAATCTGTTTCAAATGCCTCCTGGAGGCCTCTCTGGGGAGGTGCTCCAGGCATCTCCCACCAGGAGATCCCGGTGAAGACCCAGGACACGCTGGAGGGACTGTGTCTCTCAGCGGGCCTGGGAACACCTTGGTATTCTCCCAATGAGCTGAAGGAAGTGTGTGTGGAACGGCTGGGCGTCTCTGCTTAGATTGCTGACCCTGTAACCCGGCAACAAATAAAGCGGTAGAAAATTGAATATTCCATATTCTATCCTCTGGTTCTCAGCTCATCAGTATAAGCTGGCTGTGGAGCGCTATGAGTGGAACAAACTGCAGAGCGTTAAATCCATCGTTCCTATGATCCACCTGTCCTGGAACTTGGCCCAGAACATCAAAGTTTCTGACCACAAGCTGTTTGAGATGATCAAGTAAGCAACTACCAGCCGCCAGCCTGTTAGTCTGGGTCTTCAGACCAACTCATACTGCGTTTTTGTTGTCCTTCAGGTATTGTCTGCTGAGAACCCTAAAACAGTGCCAAATGCAGCGTGAGCATTTGCAAGGCGCTGGGAAGGAGCTGGTGTGGCACGGAAGGACGCAAAATGAACCGGCTCACTACTGCAATATTTGTGAGGCAAGTTACTATTTGTTCTTTCATAATTTTATCATTTTCAAATGTTCAGATCTCAATATTGATTATAAAAAAAACTTGATAAAAGTAAACAGGTTGTCACTTTAAATCGCTGTAAACACCACTGCTGAGTGTTTCTCACAGCAGCAGATCACTGCAGTGACTGTGGCATGAATCATCACACATGTATGGTTGAATAACAATTATTTATAACATTGACCCCAGCAATTATTTGATTAATCTATTAGTTTAGAATGAAAACATGAGATTGTGTTCTATTTTGATTCAGATAAAGCTGCAGATTGGCGGCCTTATTAAAACACAACATTTACACAATTCCTGATTATTATCTCATGTAATTACTTCTAAGTTTGGACATAGAGCAGTCACAGATATATATAACTGTTAAATAGTTGTGGTGATTGAAAATAAATATTAGCTGCTTATAATCAGCATCTACAGCTAGTTATGTTAGTTAAGAAACATAGCTACTACTTATTTGTATATATTGTGTGTGATCCCTGTGTGCTCTTACTACTGTCCTATATGTGCGATGCAACATCGAAATTTCCCCACTGTGGGACGAATAAAGGAATTCTTATCTTATCTTAATTGCATTTAACTGTTAGCCCTCCGTCTGTTGGGGGTGAACTTAACATTTCTAAATGCTTAAAGACCCTTATTTGATTTTATTATCCTTATTTCTGTTTTAGGTGGAGGTGTTCAACCTGCTGTTTGTCACAACTGAGAGCAACAGCAGAAAAACGTATGTGGTGCACTGCCAGGACTGTGCCCGTAGGGGGAGCACTAACCTGGACAGTTTTGTGGTGCTAGAGCAATACAAGATTGAGGACCTCATGCAGGTTTACGACCAGTTCACTCTTGTAAGTGTCTTCCTCATCCATCAATATCTGCTCTGGTCGATCATTTTGTAAGTTTACTTTCTTCTCTTGGCAGGCTAGCCCCCTACCTTCCTCTTCCTGATACGAATATGTTTTTTTCTAAGGACATTTAGAATTGAATGAATTTACTGGGATTCCCTCCAGGAGCCTTTAGTTTCTGATATTCAGGAAAAGTGGTGATGTCCCCAAACTGCACTCTGTAGCTTTCCCAATGGCAGCTGCTGTAAGCTGTATCTATGCAACCTGCACAGAACGGTGTGCCTCCCCCTGGTGGATGTATGGGGAATGGCAGCTTCTTGTTTTAGGACTTTGACTGCGCTATGTCTGGATCAACTGGACTTCTTTTGCTAAACGCAACAACTCGTACATTATTTTGTACATTATTATGTTCTGAAGTTGACAAAGTCACACAAAGACTACTGATATTTCATGTTTTTTTTTTGTGTTATCCTGCTATCTTGTCATGTAAACACACAAATCAGAAATGACACAAATGGAAATCAAATTAAACTTTAAGAAAAAAACATTTTGCTGGAACTATTAGATGTTTTGTTTGGGTGAGGCGGACATAGTTGACCAGACTAGTCACGGAAAAGGGTTGCACAAATGAGTTCACTTCTTTTTTTATGTGGATGTAAATTTATACTATTTATAAATGCATATTTATTGCTTGAAAAATATTTGTTAATGGAATGCTGTAATTTTTTAGAGTACCTGCCATTAAATCTGATGGAGCCTTGTTGTTTTGAACATGGCTTCTTATACGTTTTCTATAAATAAGAGCATTGTATAGACATTTTTTAAGATTTGTTTATTGTTTGAAGGATGTTTTATGTGTTAATAAACCAGAACTGTCTTTATAATCCATGTTTTTTTTTACTAAAATAAGAACAAACCTTGTAGTTTCGTGTGCTTTTTCTCGAACATATAGAATTTTAATGTTGCATTATTGTCACGATAACCGTAGCCGAGGAAAGTTTTCATGTTGTTCACTTGAGCTTTATATCTTATTTGAGTTGCGTGTGTTAAAAGAAATTGCCCCAATTATTGATAAATTGTCCGAGCTGGGTAAGGATCTGGTACAGTAACATTTTTATTGTAGTTATTTCTATTATATGTATGCAGTGGAGTTTTTATTTTGATTATAGATTATTTTGACATATTTTGGTGAGAAAACACTGTGATTGCATAATTACATATTCTTAATTAAAACTCCATACAGATGAAAATTACAACATCGTTATAACTTCTGTAATTCAATTTAAGATGTGTATCTATTATATAATATAGACCCAATATTATGTATAATGACATAAGCCAAGCCTTTGTTATATTAGATGATCATGGCTCAGTCATGTTTATTTATTTTTTTCCCCGTTGACATTTTATTTGGGATGGTGTGGTGTGCACTGGGTGCAGCTCTGTCAACCCCCTGACCCAGAAATGGACTAAGGGGAAGAAGTGGATGGTTTTATTTGGGGTTTTTACAAGCTAGGAGCCATTCTCTCAACAAATGCGTGCTTTAAATTTCTTGATAATGAATGTCATGCATCAGTTTATCATTGTATGTTGAATTATAAAAGTAAATGGACTTTTTAATCGTATTTTTACCAGTTTATGTATGAATACTATCTGATGGTTGGAGCCTTATTTATGTTTGTGCCACAGGAGGGCAGCAGAGGCTCTTTGCACACTGGTGTTGTGTCCTTGGGCAAAACGCGTCACACACTCAGTCATTGTTATTTTTATACATTATATATATATATATAAATTTATTCTCATTAGTCTCAGTGACCTATGGGAAGTTTGTCATGATTGCTTTAAATTTACAACCAATTTATTCTGCAACTTTTAAGGGAATACATTGCAGAATATTTTGGATATTAAAGACAGTTTCCTTATTTTCTACACATTACCCTCACATGCAGCGCAGCAAACATGAGCAGATCTGCTGCAGAACAAAGCTGCTGCCTCATTATGTGGCCCCATGGTGCATGAGTTGGACAAATCAGAGCCATTCTACCAAAGCTTTATCAAGTCAAAAGTCCATGTTTATGTGTGATTTTTTTCTCAGCACTGTTAAATATTGACTGTGGGGTCCGCTGTGGTCCTCCTGGTTTTTATGTAGAAATCTCTTCTGGTCAGTTCAAAATATAACACCATTTACTGGAGACGAAATGAGGAAGTTTAATAGTCAGTTTGTAAAAGAGGAACTGAACCTTCCTGTACGATAAAAGATGGATATGTGATGTAACAACACAAGTGCATACACTTTTCAAGATACAGAGTTTGATCAAAGATGGTAAGCTCAGTAGACCTGTCCATTTACTGAGAAGATGTGTTTTACTGAATGTGTATTACTGTCTCATGTATTGATCAAAACAAAGACCACATTTTGACCGAATGAATGAATGATACCATAGAGCTGCAGTGGGGAAATTACAAGTTACATTTTGGTAAAAAGCTGCCTGAAAAGATTGACACTGGTTTTGTTTGTTGATGATAAATCCGTGGTTCTAGTTGACGGCCTGTGTGACATGTATTTGCGAATGGTTTTGGTTGACAGTTCTATTCATACAACCCAAACACTTGAATGGCACTTATAATAATAACAGTAACAGGAAACATTTTGGCTCCTTTATGTGAGCGGACCAGGAACAATACAGCGTTCACTTAAACCTCCTGAATGGTGTTTGATGGAGATGTCTATTGTACTTTTCCCACTGACATTCATTGTGTCGTGTTTTAAAAGCTCTGCCTTTGGCTTTTATTCTGTATTTCATATCCACAGGTGGCTGCAATGGTCTGTGCTACTAATACAAACGTCACCCCATAGACATCTAATTTATATGTCAATCTATTCGAGTGCCTATATTTAAAATCTATGTTTCTGCACATATTTTCACCTTCCACTTACCTTCAGCTGTGAGACAAGAGCCCTTTTGTGAAAGCCGCTCTATCGCCTTGAGTGATAGAAATTCAACATGCTGTTTCTGACATTTCCTTCAATTTATTATGCAAAATCAAGCAAAATGTGGGACTGGAAGGGCTCCCATTTGTCCACTCTTCAAGGTAAATTAAGACCAGTCCTTTCATTCATTTGGTCAGGTGGCAACAGATAATGGTTGCTATGGTGATTTAGAGAGAAGATAGCCTTGGGATGTGCTGTGTCCAATATAAAAGCGTTACATGTGAGGAATAGTGTGTTATGAAGTGTTCGGCAATGAAAGGTGGCAATAAGGAATCGTGCTTGGCTTCAGAAATATTGTGCACGTTGTGAAATATCAGTACAGTACAATCAATCATGTTATACTTCTCCCCAGTCCTTTTCAAGCATCAGTGTGTACGTTATTGTATGTCTTCATTTTTATTGTTATTTCTCGTAACACTATTTGCTTGAAGAAAAAAAAAAGTGCCAGTAATGGTAAAAGATAAAACAAATATTAGCTTTTTCGTTTAGAGGTGTTTTAAAGCTGGCGTTGAATTTAATTTTGTTTATTTTTGAACAGCCCTCAATCACAACAGCAGTCATCTCGAGGATAAATGTCCCTAATTGTCCCGGATCATCGTCCTTAGACCCTCCTGCATCTGCAAAGAAGGACTCAGGAAGAAAAGTGGAGGAATAATGTGAAAAACCTCTGGGAGACCTATATTGAGAGAGGGATCCCCACCTTCAGACGGACAGGCGATGGATCCAAGACTCAGGCTGTAAAACGAGGACTGAGGCTGTGCAGTGCAGGACTGAAGAGGCTGTACACCCCTCCCCGACTGGGAGCTGGGGCCGTATGGGAGCTTGGTAGCTAAATGTTTTGGGTCCAACTGTGATTTTTTAGTTGAAAGAGTGAAGGGCTTGGTTTGGTTGTTGATACTAACATGTCTTGGAGGTAGGAGGAAAACATTTATAGACTTGAATGTCAAAAGAATTTATTTAAACTTGATCCAGTAAAGTGATTTTTAACACTGGAGTTATGTGTTCCCTCTGTTTAGGATCTTTTAAGATCCTTGTTGCTGTGATTTTGAACAATCTGAAAGTGTTTTTAAGAATTAAGGGCACGCTGCCAGCAGGGCATTATGAAGTGAAAAAAGGATGGAGAATTTCTTCGGCATAACTTTTAAGATATTTCTAATTTTGTTGCACAGATGTAAATGTACGGTTTTAGTTGCTTGGTTTTGTATTTCATATTTTTCAGGTTGAGGAGCAGGTAGTTTTGGGCCCTTTTGATTCTTAAGATAAGAGTTCCTTTAATCGTCCCACAGTGGGGAAATTTTGATGTTGCAGCGCACATATAGGACAGTAGTAAGAGCACACAGGGAGCACACAATATATACAAAATACGTAGTAGCTATGTGTCTTAACTAACATAACTGGCTGTAGATGCTGGAAATGCTTCAATACCAGTCAAAAAATATATACATGTAGTAGTGCAGAGTTATGTACTGTACATACAGTGCAGGATAATAAGTAGATAAAGTAAAGTGACATTGTTCTGTGACATTCTGAAGTTATAGTATTGCACATTGCACATGATTTAAGAATTTACTTAATTACAGATGAATGAAATTTACAGGCTCAGCAGTTCTTATTGTACAGTCTGACAGCAGCAGGAAGGAAAGACCTACGGAACCTCTCCTTCACAGAGCGAGGATGAATAAGTCTGTCACTGAAGCTGCTCTCCAGGGCAGAGAGAGTGTCCTGCAGGGGGTGACAGTCATGGTCCAGGAAAGATGTTAGTTTGCTCAGGACCCTCCTGTCCCCCACCTGCTGCACTGTGTCCAGGGAACAGCCCAGGACTGAGCTGGACTTCCTGATGACCTTGTCCAGCTTCTTCCTGTCCCTCTCTGTGATGCTGCTGTTCCAGCAGACCACACCGTACAAGAGGCTGATCCCACCACAGAGTCATTTATGTAGGCTCTAAGCCTTTTTAATTGATCTGTCTGATTTGGTTTCATACACTAGCAAGCCATATTTTACTTTGGAATAGGGTGAAGAGTAAGGGTGGGCGATAACTATCGTGGGCGATAACTATCGTAGGCGATAATATCGCAAAACCTTTGACAATAAGCTTTCTCACCTTATCAAAA